GCTATGACTGTCACCCGGCATAATTTGCAGATGATAATGGTTGTAGCCGGTGCGATGCTTTCGACTAAAACAGGCGCAGCTTAATGACATCATCAACATGCGCTATCGCGATAGAGCGATATAGTCAAAATCTCTATCGTTGGCCAAATTTATATCGTTTATATCGTATATCGTTTATATCGCCCACCCCTAATTGAAAGTTGTAAAAATATGAATTATTCTGGGAGCTGACTACAAAATGAGTGTTAAAAAAAAGAAGAAAAAAAAAAAGAGCTGAGCTTGTGAAGATGTGATGTGAACCAGTTTTATCATGACTCCCTCTCTTTTTTAAAATCACTGCACAGCTGAGCACAAAGCTAAGAAAATAAGATTAAGAGCTGTGTTTTTTCTGTTAAGCAAAAACTACAGTGGTTGTCCCAACAGTGAAGAACTTGGATGTTTACACAAAAAAATAGATATTCAAACATATTATTTGTTGCGGAAACAACTGTGCAAAACCAGAGATTAACTTATGGCACTGATGAGTTCTTTTTCCCCCCCTTCTCTGATGCAATAGCGCCATCCAGTGGTCACACTAAAGTCATTCATTAAAAGATGTTTGAGTAGAAACAAAAGCATCAGAGATTCTGAATTCTTCATTATGAATAGTTTTACTGTTGTGCACCAGGATAAAAATGTGCTGCCAAAAAGATAAAGCTCAGTTATAGACGCAGTTGCTTAGAGATATAGTAAGTGTGTAAGGTGAGTGTAAGAGGAGTAAACACACATAAAGTTTATGATAATTTTATCATTTTTCCACTTAACTGGATAATTGGCTTTGTCTGCAAAAGACAAAGTGAGTTATTAAAGGAAATGACTCCAAATGTTGTTTTGTCTACAAAATACCTCAGGCATTCATTTATAACTATATAAAATAAAAGCAACACAATCTCACACTTAAAAAGTCAATTTAAAAAACAAATTATCCTGTCTTGTTTGGCACATTACTTTTGCATTTAATAAATTGTTGAAGACTTTATTCCAATCCAAAACAGTTGTACCCTGCTCTCTAAAATATGATTAAAGTGCTAGCAGAAAACAAACCCCCTTACCACACATACTCCTCTTATTCTAAACATACTCTAGATACAAAGCTGCTTCAGACAGCTGGTAAAGCACACTGCACAAAGTAGTTGTCATAGTCTTTATTCTAAAAGCATTATCTCCACAACACACATGATTATTATGTTTTATAGTTAGCTATGCGCTGCATTTAAAATAGCCATCACTTTGTGCCAATACAAGACATCAGCCTAAAACAGTCATTCAAAAGCACAGACCAGAAATGAAGAGCGCTATGGCAGAACCTTGCTAAAAAAAGCTGACTTTTTTCCTACCAAAAATAACAACTGAAAGCAAAGAAAATAAGCCCCAAACTGCTCCAAACAGGTAGCCTTCCAGTTTGAGCTAGTGTAGTCACAGTCACGCAATACTGTGACAAGAACACAGTCTCACAACAGTTTGTGAAAAAGTCACAACCTGTAATCTACTCATTCATGTTTCTGGACATGAATTTTAATATTCTTTCATTTTGTGTCCCTAAACATGACTTTTTCCAATGGTCTCATATGTACACAAACTTTATATTGACCGTTTTTAAAAGGTTAAAAAGTTCAAATGTAAACAGTCCACCTTTGAATGGTGGTGGATTTGGTGGTGGAGTGAATAATTTTAACACCCACACAGGACATATTTTTGGTTATGCTTTTTACTTCATGTATCTTTGGTAAAATGCCTTGGTTATGTTTCAGCATTACAAAACAAACAAACAAAAACAAAAAAAACCCCAAAACTGCTCATATTTAGAAAAGAACACTTCTTTTAAAGCCCTGTGGTGTCATATCTATGATGGAAGAGTTTGGACAACAGTGCAACAGACACAAAATATCATTCTTACTAAAACACATTCGTTTTGCCCAAGTTGTGCCAACTGTCACGAAATAAAAAGAAGAAAAATGTGACAAGTCATATCCATGAACACAAACAGATAGGTTTTTTTGTGACTATTTCACATTTTGTTATGAGACGGGGCTGGATAAGACTACCATGCACACTTATTCTTTGGATCAGTGTTTGGGGGAAAAAAAAAAAAAAAAAAAAAAAAACACAAAAAGAAAGAAAAACATATAAGAGACCAACATGGAAGCTTTGCCTTGGAGACTGGGACATGATTTGCGGTGGCAAGCTATATATTAACAAACATGACGGACATGAAAAACCCATGAATGGATGTCGGGGACAGTGATAATGTTTATGAATCCTTAATGCCCTTGTGGGAGCGTACCTGCTTCTTCTGCAGTAGGGGCATGTGCGTGCCCTGCATGGGGAGGAAGGCAAGGGGAGACAATATACTATCAAGTACTACATCACAACAATGTGACAGCTGGCTTAAAGCTACACAGAGCACTGGCACAAACCAATAATTTCTATTTTGTTGTGGTGAAACCATTATCAAATAAACTAATTGCTAACTACTAAATCTGTAAATAAAAAAGAAAAAATGTTGGGAGTTAAATTGCAGAACAGACACCACAAGATGTCTGGAAGACCTATTTTTAGACACAAATTTCTGAAAGTTTCTAAAAATACTGAAAATTGGTGGGTAGACTGGTAAAATCAGGTGTTAGGTGTTTCTGTTAATAAAGTAACTGAGTACATATGACCTACAGACTGTATATGGAGGACTGATAGAGATTAGTGACATTCCGGGCATTTTGATCTGACAGAGAAATCATATGGCATTTCCCACTTATAGGGTATAAATTCATCACAAGGTAGCCCTTCTTCTTCTTCTTTTTTTTTTTTAAACACATTTAACATCATGTTGTACTTAGAGGTATTTGAAAACAGCAGCGACCTTTCCTTGTCTGAGATCACAAAAAAATTAGCTCAAGGGATGTTTTCTCATACACTTTTCTAAAACTCAACTTCTTTCATTTAGAAAGGTCGGGAAAGAAAGCAGGTTTAAGGCCTTCTGCTTCACTTTTCACACTTCGGCACCAACTCCATCTTTAATATACAGTCTGTAATATGTTCATGCTAAAAGAAAGGAAACACAAACACACTGTCAAAACCTGTACTTGAAGTTCAGGTAAGTATTATAAAAGACTACGTGATTAGATTCATAATAATATCAAGGTAAAGCTCAAAGACAACTCATCAAAAAAAGGATCTGTTCAAGATCGAGAATCATTAGAAGCAAACACCAGGACAAAGTATGAACTTACATTTAACAGAACAAAACCATCTGACCAAAACTTCCATTATCAGATCAATATATGTTTGTATATGTATCTAACCCTAAAAAACACAAGTGCTTATTTTCTTTCCTACAGTGTATACATAGAAAATATTTACAATGTTATTTCCAGAATGCTACTTGAATTTGAATTTAAATTTTTTTATTTCAGTCAACAACAACAACAACAACAACAACAACAACAACAACAGATTAAAATTTTACATAAAAGTACTCAAACAGTAACCGAAAAAGGAATAGGCTGAAGCCTTATGGCTTATACTTATCCTATCCCTTACCCCCATAGAAATAATCAAATCCTTAACCAAGAAAATAAATAACTTTGATAAATAAGTTGAATAACTTATTATCTTATTAACAGTGAGTCAGCAATATTACCAAATGACAAAAGAAAGAGCCTAAAACTGTGGCTCACTCTCTAAACAACCTAGGGAAGGGGGTAAATTAATCATCTGAATTAGTTTGCCAAACTTTGTAGTTAATAAAAGTAATCCCGGCTTTATTTTTATTTTTTTAAGCAAAAGCAAAATTTCGACGGATTACTATATCCGAGTCATATCATATATACTTATTTCACCACACTCTGAAAAGCTACAAAATACAACAAAGACAGCCAGATATGCCTAGAAGTGTTAACGTGTTTACAAATATACCCAGAAATGGAAATAATTAATGTGGGGTGGTTATATCTTATATTGTGCTCCATCTTTTGTGTCATTATATCTTATTAAGCTTATTTTGTACTGTATAGCTTATAGCTCATTTTAAATGATCTGGTTGCTGTAAGACAGTAGTTTCCCAAAAATAAAGTACTTCTTGTCACATCTCATCTTATTCCTTTAGTAAGCAGATATAAGCAATGTATTTTACCTGAAGCCACAGCAAGGCAGAGTGAAGAGCCGGAGAAGGGCCAGCAGCACCCTGAGGGGCAGTAGGGTGAAGACGTACAGAAAGGCATCCACACACAGGAAGAAGCCGAAGATCATCAGCTGGAAAAGTCACACACAACACCACCACAAATCAAACTATGAGTCTGTAGGGTACATAGTGATCAGTCATCATAAGGAAAAAAAGATGAATGAGAGTATGTACACAAAGGACATCAATCAATTACAATAACATGATGAACATAAAAAAGGTACGATTTTATCTATTTTTTTTCTTTTAACAAGTGGAAGAAATTGTACATAGGAGAAACACCATATGTGACAAAAAAGTACACTTAACCTTTTTATTATGCAACAGGCACATACCTTTACAGTTTCCAATATATGAACAGCCATTACCTCATCATATTCAAAGGAATGTTTTACAAGAAATGCATTGAAATGCATCTGACATCTTATTCCTACTTCTAACAGGTAAAACAGCAAGGCAACAACTACTGGTAGAATCTGGTGGGAGGGTCTGTTTGTCATTGGTGGATCCTGTCTGACCTGGGGCCTCCTGAGGTACCCTGAAGGTAGTAAGCCTGTTTCACCGGCAGTTTGTGGCTACACACATTCCTCTCCCTTCAACAGGAAAACCAAGCCAGTAACAGATATGTTAGTCTGGGATTATAAGGACACAAAGCAGCTGACAAAGCATCAACTCTGAAATAAAAACAAATAATAAAGACCTTTACAGATGAGGAGGAACTCAATAGACTGTGTGTAACTGTATAGGCATCACATTAATTTAAACTTTAGTTGTGACCAGGTTAGATGACATATATATTGAAGAAATACACATTTATTAGAGATGCTGTTAAAAATGTATGATTCCTAGAAAGTCAATATAATGTCCAGCCTGTGTGTCAGAAGAAATCAGTCTTTAAGTTCAACACTGCCATCTGGTGACTACTGAGAGGAACAACAAAAACCAAAAAATTACTAGGGTCAGTAAGGCATATTGTAAACAAACAACATAATTTTCTGACATTTCCGTGTCAGCCTAATATCTATATTAATTATTAATATATTTCCCAACATTGAAAGTATGTTATAATGATTACTCTTGATATCTGTGTAGGTTTCAGTGAGGGTAGTCTAAGGACCGTGTCTCAGAATGGAACAGGGAAGAAGACCTTGGGAAAAAAAGTGAGTGGATTTCCTTTAAGTTTCATGAAGGCGTTTTACCTCTCATGCAAGAGGATTTTTCAGCTCTAAACCCAAATGGTGGAGAGTTCTAGGTAGGACCCACTATTGATCATGTGCCTTATCACCTTGGCTTTTCCACAATAACTTTTATATGATTAATTCATTTATTTTATTCCTTGTAACTTCATAAAAGGGTTAACACGGCTTCAATGTCTTTTTTAGCCTTGTAAGGGTTATGTGGCTAGCTCTTGTACATACAAAGTTATAAAGTCTCAAAAAGAAATAAAATAAAACAATGTAAAAACCATCAAAGCTAAATGAGCTCACTGTGAAGGACTCAGGTGAGATGTACATATCGATAATGTGGCAACCTAAGAACAAGTTCAGAAGCAATGCAAAACTGACTGAGGATTCAGAATTGTAGCAAAGTCAGGAGCCAGAAGAAGAAGTGTCTCCAAATTAAGCAAGCTTACGGGCTGACTGTAAAATAATCGTATGCTTTCTGTGTACTGATGGAAATGACAACAGACAGATGGAGAAAGCTGCAGAGAAATCAGGGCAGATAAGTTCAGGGCTGTTAATATACACTACCTTCTCGAGTTCCTTGGGAATACGCATGCATGTGTAAACTCTCTCCCTTCGTTCAGTGTACTTTGCCTCATTGTGCTCCAGGAAGTAACCTCTGGTGAGCTCGGTGCAAATGAAGCGCGTCAACGATGGATCTGGAACAACGTGAGAGCAACAGTGTTATGACAAAACCATTGTCCACAACAAATACAGCTGTCAACACAATGAGAACTCCAACAGTGGCTCTGTAAAGTGAAAGAGGAGGAAGCATCTCTGTATGATGAAAACTAAAAAGTGAAGGTTTAATGGCCTTTTAAAGTGTTGTTTCAGTGTTTGACTCAAGGCTTAGACAGCTGATATACAGTGTCTGTGGCCTCTCTCTCTTTAAAGAATAACAACCATCTGCCTATGACATAATGAGTCTTGTGCTCCAACTACAGTAATACTTCCATCATTACCAAAGAAAATATTCAATAGTTTACTTACAATCTTTTGTAATTGAGCAATTAGATGAAATAGCAGTTCAATTACAATTTTGGTTTCCAATTGTTATAAGAACAATTGAAAAATGGTGAAAAATGTCCACCATGATTTCTGTCAGGCTATCACAATAAAAATCTGGAGGGTTTTTTGTATAGAACAAAATATTGGACAAAAGAATTGTTAAAAATAGTTTCAGTCAGATTTATACTCTAATTGCCACTATCTGTGAGAACATGTCTGGCATGTCACGCTTCATAAATTGCAAACAGTAATGATTTATACATTTGGGTTTCTTTTCAGCTACAGTTTTTGTTAATAAATAATGTTAACAGTCTCATTGAAAATGTATCAGTGTCCACTTTATCTAAGCCACGGTGTATGTGTTCAACTGTGTTTGCCTAATTAGACACACACTTGTAGTTAAAAGAGACGCAACGCGTTTCGGCTTGTGGCCTTCATCAGGGTCATGACCCTGATGAAGGCCACAAGCCGAAACGCATTGGTCTATTATTAAAGTTGTTCATCTTCCCTCAAGTGCTGCTGGAGTTCCTGCTTTGAAAATACTGCTGCTGCCAAAGCAACTGGATATTGTCCTATTATGTATGGGGTCAGGTGTTTCCTACTACAGCTCTTAAAATCCCCTCTACGTACTAAAGTTTAAAGCTTCCCAATTGGGGCAAAGATATCTATATATAACATCTGTTGTCATCAACTCTGGTTAACTTTAATTTCAACATTAATTAAACAGCAAAGGAGACATGTGATCTGAACTAAACCGGCCACAGCCTTACAGGGAGCCATTGTCAGACATAATCTTGTTTCAATAATTGTTGTAAGCCAAAGGTAGTAGGTTACAGGTTAGAACCTGATCTGTGACAGGTCATGCAATAGGTGGTGTGAAATAACGTATAGAGAAACTTAGAGCAGATACAGAAGAAGGTTATGGAGCCATGCAAACTCACTAAATAGGTAGTTGCACTGCCAAGATAATACGAGAGATGTTTTCTCCTCTTTCAGTTGATGTGAAGCAAACGCTAGCACTGACTGTAAACAAGCTTCGACACAGCTTTAACAAACTACAGTCGTTACAGACGAAGCTTCACTCACATTAAACACGACTCTTTTGTTTAAAACGTCGTATTCACGAAGCCGCAACATTATCAGAGTTAATGCCCACAGCCCCCCCAAAATAAGTTGGAAACATTTAAGACGTCTGACGGTTATTAGCAGTGCGACCCGACAGTTACCTGCTGACAGCTCCCGTTGCTCCCTCCTGACAGCGCTTATGTCGTAAAATCCCAGGGTTTCTGGCAGTTCCGGGGTTATGCCGATTTTACCCGACTTGTGCAAGCCCTCCCATGTTCTTTTTTGCCTTTTCTTCAGCTCAATTTCGGCTTCTTTCTCCTCTGACAGCTCGGTCCCCAACTGGTCCGCCATCTTTACTTTGCCCGCCTTGTCGCCCTGCGCAACGTCATCGCGGTGTGGCTGACAACGTGCGACGTCACGATGATAAAGGTAGTTTCAACATTTTTTAAAAAACATATTTTTGAAATGTTTTTTATTGGCATTAATATTTATACATTTTACTTTTCCAGTGATTCTCCGTTTAATTTAATCTAAAATGTACACAAATCTGCCATTTGTTTCCTTATTTGTTCTTTAAAATAATAATACAAGATTTTAAAAATAAAGTTTTTGGAAACGCCTTAAATAAATGATTACCTGGCTGGAAAATGGTTTCCCAGTATGTTTCTGTGGACCAACTAGTCACACTAATGGGGCTTTTTATTTGATTTCAACAACAAGATAAGAAGAAAAAACGAGCCTAATAATAATAATAATAAATTAACTCTTTATATAAAGAACGTAAATGTATTCACTTGTTGTAACATACACATAGTGGTATTTTTAAAAATATATTTTTCCCGGCATCACAACTTTTTCTTAAATAAACGCATATGCTGTTAGGAAATAAACAAAATGAAATATTGTTAAAGACTTTCCAGTGAATATAATCATTGGTTACGAAAGAGGAAATATATTGTGTTATATTATATTATACTATGTACTTTCTACAGTAATGTCGTATAGAGATCGATAATCTCTATACGACAAAGAAACAAAGAAAAGTTAATTGAGTATTTTGCAGTACCCAATATCCTCCACTTGGTGTCCCCAAAGTTCCATGAAATCTTCTTGAATTTAAAGTCTACCCAACAACAGTACTGAGGCGTCTTCCCACTGATTTATATATACACGTTTGGTACGAACGGCATATATAGAGGTTATAGTTCATGTTAGAGGTTGTTCTGAGTATATTCAGGTATATTTTGTTGACGTTACTCAGGTGCGGTCATCTACATTTTAATATTTTAATAAAACCTAAAAGGATATCCCAGAATAAATAGACTAAATCTCCAGTGTTTAAAATGCTGCTATACATAACGCCCACGTTCATGCGCCTCTTGAATATATACCTGACATTTAACTGCTCATCGAGTAAGTAAAGAATGTCCATGTCCTTGTGCAGTCAATTTACCTTAACGGCAGTTATAATTAAAGAACAACTCTATACTATACCTAGAGATACCTTGTCCTCAGTTATTATTCATGTACTTACATTTCCCAGAATGCATTTTAAGAGGAAGTAGTGTATGAACATGTAGTTAAGGGTCTTAATATTAACAAGGGTATGTATGAATGTATGAGGCATATGCATTTAAGTTGACCCCTCTAATGATTTGACATCTATGATCATGGCTTAATATTTAAAATTATGCTGCACTGAATTCTGAACTTCTGCAGCAGACATCTCCCAGTATGCTCATTAAAGGTCATTAGAAAATCCATGAAGAAGGTGTTTTTGGTAGATGACAGTCATTTTCTGCTATTATATCCTATTATGGATACAGGGAATATGAAGAAGTGTGCCTTGCTTTGGCTGGTAATGAACAATAATAACAAAAACAGAGCATAAAATAATGATTATGCCGCCAAAATATGATTTCCTTTCATTTAAATGTGTAGCTGAGAATTTAACTCTACCCTCATCTTGCTGTCTTTGTCCCCCCCAAAAAAACTGTTTTGTGAAAAGCCCTTCAAAATAAAAAGAAAAAAAGAAAAAAGAAGAAAAGAACCTGCAATGATAATTTATCAACTTGATCTGCTGAGTTCCTCCAATAACATATAAATACAGCTTTTTAATAATTTAGACTGATGAAGTAAAAATTCAACCCCTAAAAAAATCAGACTGGAAAAGTCCGGCTCCACGCTCACATCAAGCATAATCAAACCAAATTCAACTACTTTGTAAGCACGGTTTATTGGCACACATAATGGTAAAGCATACATACCAGACATCAGATATGACACTGAACACCTCTGCTATATAATGTACAAATGGTGTCTAATAATACTAGGCGCAAACATATTTAGAAACGTGTTAGCTTCCTTACAAATGCACAAATAAATACCCATAAGATCCAATTGTATAAAGACATCCATCATTGTCTTCTTGCCCATTTTTAAACAAAAATCCAACAAAAGAGATCAGGGATATACTGTAGTATCAATTCAATTAATGATTAAAGAACAAGTGTGAACACAAACACAGGGATCTCAAAGTGTTTCTGTCGGGTGGATGGGATTTGATCTTGTCTTTAAAATGTTACTGTTGCTGTTTTTGTGGGGGGGGCGGTTCCTACAATATGTCACAGAGTACACAACAAATATCATCATGTGACTGTGTGGCTGTTATTAACATTGTGGCTTTGGTTCTCCACTAGCTAGAGAGGACATTAAGAGTTTGGTTCTGACAGAGGCAAACAGGCATCCATCCAAACCACCCAACAGAAATCTGAACCTCCTGTACAAAACAAAACAGCTGCCATGTCCAAACTGCTTTCAGTGGCTGATTTACAGTGGACAAAATAGATTCCACCTCTATTTACAGAGCTACAAACCTTGTAACAGTGTTCCCAAACTGATGAACCCAAAAGGAAAATCCAACAGATGAGTTTTATAAAGCACATAGATCAAACAAAAAATAAAATTCCTATAAAATCATGCAGGAAAAGGCTTTAGTATCAGTTTGGGAGTAGGTCGTTAAAGGGAACGAAGTCCAATTTTCCAGGAAGAAAAAAAGAAAAGAAATCAACAATAACGCATCAACGCGTGTCGGCAAAGTTCACATACTGATCTGCAAAATTACAATGTGATTGCAAAAGGATTCTGAGAGAAGCGAAATACCAATAGACTACAAACACAATCAAACTGGTTTGCATGAAATCACAATCTGTGACGACCGCGGTAATGTGGAAAAACAATCGTAGGACACGAGTTTCCCTTGTTTCAAAGGAGTCCATAGTGGTAGAGAACTTTTATTTCCCCTTAATTGGAAATGGAAATAAACAGCAACAGCAGAAACAAACCAACAGCCGACTGAATTTCCAATAAAAATGCAATTGCCTCAAACAATATTTCATTTGTCTCCAATGTGGTTAGATGCTTCCAATGGCTCTGGTGGCTGTTAAAAAACACTTTGCCTTCTTGAGCTTGCTTATTTTTTTGAAGACATTTTGTTCGTTGTTTTTACTCTTCTTCTTTTCTCCCCACTGTCTACCATCAGCAGGATGACTTGTGACCTGAAGGTCAACCAATCACATCTGTGGTATTCCACTAGATGAGAGGTCTGTAGCTGAGGGTCCAAAGAGGAGAATTTGATCCACAATTTTCCACTGCATTCTTGGAAAAAAAAGAAAAAGAGAAAAAAAAGAAATCCCACACCTTGTTATTTTTACATTATAGTTGCATACGACCTGTATGCATTTCTTGTCTGTGGATATTGCTGTGCAATGCTGCCAGTTCTCAGTGTTCTCCTAGATGTTACAGTGATTCAGGAAAGAAGAAAATATCCGGGACGGACGTACAGTATTTTGGCTGGACATGCCGGTGGTGACTTTGCAGACGGGGGGATTCTGATTCAGTACAATGTTATGAGGCATAGAAGTACTGCCCTCAGGGGAAGGGGTAGGTTAAAAAGTCCAGTCCACATGAAGTCAAGGATCTGTTGGGCTTTTTTTTCCCTCTTCTTTTGTTTTACTGCGAGGGTTGTGGCGCCGTGCTCTCGGGCTTGCTATCCTGGGCGGCGGGGGCTTTGCTGCTCCAAGGGGCATTGTTGCCCAGAGCTGGGGAACTATTAAAGTCGTCTTCGTCATCCAGGCCGTTGGTGGCATCGTACTGTGTGTTCTCCAGACGGGTGATCAAACGCTCATCCTCGTCCCCAAACTCGCCGCCCATCAGGGTCGGCTCGCCTACCACCATCACGTCCTTAAGAAAGAGAGAGAAGAAGAGAGGAAGGTATATGATATTTTTTATTCTGAAAACAGAAAAACACATAATTTGTCTTTTTTTCCTCCTGGCTTTTCCAAAGGTAACAACATATTTAAACTGTCCCGTCAGCTGGGTCACTTTATCAGTCACTTTTTAATTGCGTGCTTCCTTTCACGCCCTGAATATTCACATTACCATACAATGGGTTCACAGCTGTATATAAGCAGGGGTGCATTTTGGCTAGACCACTGTAAAATTTGTAGCTTATCCAATGGGAGTTTGAACAGGTTTATCACAGAGATAAGAGATACATGCATACAAATATAAAGCAAGCCCTAAATACACTTATAGTACATGCAAATATTATTGCAAAAAGCCACAAAATTCACTGCATCATCCTTCCGTCAACTGTTTTATTTTTATTTTTTTATTGCTGTGTGTAATTTTTGTCCTCTTTTTGTTCTTCTTCTTTTTTCTTTTTATTAACTAACTCATCCATTTGTTAATTTCACTCATTTACATTCTTTAAAGCAGTCTCTAACTAGTTTTGAAGTCTGGCTTACAAATATAATTAACTTTTACACAGGGAGCCGTGGAATGTTTTTGGTTTTGTGCAGGGCCGGCTGTATTTAGCCTTGGGGTGATTCAGAATTAATATGCTAAAGTGAGTGAGAAATCACCAGAGAAGAAATTAATGCATATCTGTTTCATCTAATTCTCAGACCAAAGCACCATCTGAATATCAAATGAACGCAGATCCAACCGAAAAGACCTTATAATAACATTTTCATTACTTCAAATAAATGATTATGTATGTTGTCTGTTTCCCATAATTAGAATTTAATCAATGACATTTTAAAACAGAGGGTTAAAAAAAGCAAGAGGTCATAAAAATAAATATTTAGTTGTACTCTAGACCAGACTTTATCATAATTTTTGTTTGAAGAAGGTATGCCTGGTTGCTCTATGATGGTAGAGGTACAGTGTGTGTTTTTCTGCTTCAATTATCATCCCTTTCTTCCGATCTAAAGACAGTACATGTGTGCTCTTCAGTGGGGTTTTTTGGACAGACGCTGGCATATTAAGTGATCTAATTTTTCTAAGCACCCCATGCAAAGGAAACATTCCCATCCAGATAGGAGA